CAATCTACCAGTTTCATTTGATGGTGCCTAGCAGATGAGATAATGAGTCATGTTCTCTGTGCAATTCATGACTTTATAGATATAGATCATAAACCAGACCGATCTCTATCAAATGTCTATTTTCTAGGCAACAGAGCTCAAGTCTATTCAGGTCTTTCCTTCTCATATATAAGTAATTCTTTATCTTGACCTTTCTGTAATATTTAAATACATCATGAGATGTGCTGAACAAGGCCAATTATAAATGTTCTATATTTAAATGAAGCCTATGTTATAAAAAAGGGTTGTGAATTCACATTCAAAATAGCTTTAACAACAAGAGTTTATAAATGTGTATTATATTTCCTTTATTTTAGTCCTTAAAATAAGAAGTGAAAAAATTCTACTTTTCTCACATACTTTTAAGGAAGTTCCTTCTTAGAAGTATGAAAAAAATGCATTTTACAGTGACTCAGTGGAACTAAAAAGAATAAATATCAGACATACAGTCTGATATTTTAATAAAAAAGGTTCATGTAAAATTATTTTTTCTTAATTAAGATAGTAATGATTTAAAATGTATTGTAACCATATGAACATAACTATAAATAACATTAATTTTAATATTAAAGATAATTAAAACAAATATAATTATCAATTTAATAATAATTTAGAATCAGAAAGTTTATAAAAATAATTTTAAAATGAGAATTTTCATATAAATTAATATAAATTCTCTTTCCTTTGAATTTCCTACATTTCTTTTGAGAAATAGGACCTCTTATCTGAGAGATACCAGTTAATCTTAGGAAAATCCCTTCAGATTATTTACCTAAATAAGTGAGTTAACATTAGAATCGCACTTGTAGGGTGTTGAGAAACCCTTATCTTATTCCAAGACAAGGCAGAGATATTGTTCAACAAGAACATACATTTCCACGGCCTTCGGAGTTCCAGATTAGGAGAGGTCAATATTCAGATCTGACTGGAAGGGGACTCTCTGGCAAAAAAAGGCTGAGTTGGTTTTTTTTTTTCCCTTGTCTGAAATTATTTTCTGTGTATCCAGTACTATTTCCAAGATCTTATTTCAACTTGCTCATTCTTGGTCTGCCAGGAAAATAATTTATGGACCTTTTCACCCCTTTCATATACAAGTGCACTTGAGTGTAGCAATTGCTTACAGACCATATCCTCAGTCAGTTCATTATGTTCTTTCCAGAAACTATTTATAAATTATCATATATTAAAAAAAATCTGTTAGGATAAGTAATGCAAGTGTTTCACCCTTAGGAGAATGTGAAGAATAATAATTTCTAGGCATTGTGCGTTTAATTTCTCCCTTTGTTTCTCCTCCAGTTAGAGAGTCTCCTACGTTTCTCCCCCAGATCCTATTACATTCTGATTAAGACTTTTATCTTCTGTGATCAATGAAAGAGCCATCATGGTTTTCCGAGACTTCATTTCCCTTTTTTGCTCATTCCGATTTCTAAAAAGAACTTTCTCCTTTTCTTATTTAATTCCACGCTCTATTCATATTTTATTTTCAAATGCATCAATAACAAAATGAATATTAGGAAAAATGTGAGCCTGCTACTGAATGGAACAGGGAACCTGGTGACAGAGGTTGAAGAGAAGGCAGATTTACTGCCTGCCTCCTTTGTTTCAGTCTTCACTTCCAAGGCCATCCCTCAGGAACTCCTGACCCAGCAGACCAGGGAGAAGGTGTGGAGAAAGAAAGACTTTCCTTTGGAGGAGGACTGGGTTAGAGACCATTTAATCAAATTTGACACCCTCAAGTCCATGGGCCCTGACAGGATGTATCCATCCATGAGTGCTGAGAGAGTTGATGAACACCATAGCGAGGCCGCTCACAATTATCTTTGAATGGCTGTAGAGATAGGAGAGGAGCCTGACGACTGGAAGACAGCAAATGTCACTCCAGTCTTCAAAAGAGCAAGAAGAACAACCCAGGGAACCATCATGTCGTCCACCTGGTCATCCATCACTGGTCGTACTAGTCAGCTTCACCTCAGTTGCTGAAAAGTGATGTAACAGCTCATACTGGAGGCCATCTCTAAGCACGTGGAAGACAAGGTGGTGATCAGGAGTAGTCAGCATGGATTCACCAAAGGGAAGTCATGCTTGATCAACCTGATTGCGTTCTACAATGAGACAACTACCTGGACAGACGAGGGGAAAGTAGTGGATATTGTCTATCTGGACTTAAGCAAGGTTTTTGCTTTTGACACTGTGTCCAATGATAGGCATGTGCAGGGTCCTGCATCTGTGGAGGAATTACCCCCTGCACCAGGATGGGGACCAACCTGCTGGAAAGCAGCTCTGTGGAGAAGGACATGGGAGTCCTGGTAGACAACAAGCTGTTCACGAGCCAGCAGTGAGGTCCTGTGGCCAGGAAGGCCAGTGGTGTCCTGGGGTGCATTAGGAAGAGCATTGCCAGCAGGTTGAGGGAGCTGATCCTGCCCCTCTACTCAGCTCTGGTGAGGCTTCACCTGGAGTGCTGTGTCCAGTTCTGGGCTCCTCAGCACAAGAGAGACACGAAGCTGCTGAAGTGAGTGTAGCAAGGGCTAAAAAGATGATGAGGAGACTGGAGCACCTCTCTTATTAGGAAAGGTAGAGGCAGCTGGTTTAGGCTAGCCTGGAGAAGAGGAGACCGAGAGGGGACATCATCAATGTATGTAAGTATCTGAAGGGATGATGCCAGAAGGATGGAGCCAGGCTTTTCTCAGTGGTACTGAGCAATAAATAGGACAAGAGGCAACAGGTGGAAACTGGAATGCAGGAAGTTCCACCTGAACATGAGGAAGAACTTCTTCACTGTGTGGGTGACTGAGCACTGGAAACAGGTTGCCCAGAGACGCTGTGGAGTCTCCTTCTCCAGGGGTATTCAAAAGCTGCCTGCACATATGCCTGAGTACTGCTGGTCTAGAGGACCCTGCCTGAGCAAGGAGATTGGACTAGATGACCTATAGTGGCCTCATCCAACCTTAACCATTCCATGATTCTGTGTGATTCTGTGATCTCCTTGGAGAGGGACTTTGTTGTACATTGGTTTTTTTGCACCATGGGACATGATACATGCTGCATAAGTAAGAAGGTGTATTTTTGAAGGGTGTTGTGCTTCAGATACAGAGAAAAGTAGGATGCTATATTCATTTGAAAGCAGTAAAACCTGTTCCAATATCACTGTGAGCAGCTCCTGTGGATAATACGGTAGCCAGTTCTGCCAAGAAGGAATGGAGAACCAGTACTTCTGAAAAAGCACTCATTTGCTTTCATTACAGTCCCAAATCTTGATTCTCTTGGAGAGAGGCAGATCAAAGTTTTTTTCAGACTCATTAGTTTTCTCATTTGTGTAAGAGTTTCTCGAACTATTCAGGAATAGTAGAAGCTGAGTTCATGCCACGGACTGAAAACTCATTCCAGGTTAGGGAATGAGTTCTTGATGCTTAATTTTAAAGTAACTTATTATACATCAGATTTCTAAATCATTACTGAATGAAAAATTGTATTACTAGAAGTTTGTACTGTATCATTACTTATCCTTTATCAATGACATTTACAAGTCAAAAGTGTTACACATTTGTGCAGGATCTGCAACACCAGCACATTTTGGGTATATCAGAAACTATTAGCGATATAGAAAATATGAGCACAGCTTTTAATAGCTTGACATTTCTGTTATATAGAGCTCAAATTCCATTAAAAAATAATTTCCTTACCAACGCATCTCCTTTTTCATGTCAAATAGCATACTAATAATCGGAGCCAGAAGAGGGCACCCAATAAACATTTGGCAGCACAGCTCAGCTTAAAAAAATCCACACAAAGTGTATATAACTTGGTAAAAAATGCTGCAAAGTATCTTCTGTAATTGTTTTCATAAAGTCTAAGAAAATTAATGTTTGTTGGAATTAAAAAAATTACAGCTTGTTGAGTAACATGAGGTGTCTGCCCCGAGTCACATCACTGGATGAGCATCAACAGTTACTGTGACCGTTTATGGTAGTAACAATGAGATATTTACCTCTACAGGGAAAGAAAACTATGATGGCTGCTACTGTAAACAATGCAAAAGGCAGGACAAAAATGGAAGTCTGAATAACCAACAGGTAAAATGCAGATGGCCAAGAACATTCACACTGAGACTTTTGCACCCTAAATCATGACTTTCAAGAGACAGTGCTACACAGAGAAAAGCCGTGAGAGATCATAAAAGAAAATCAAAATGTTGATATCCATAGAAGGCAACTATTGAGGACAACTACCTTTATAGCAGTCCCACACTCTTAATAAATTCTGTATTGGTAACTCTTTTTGTAAAATTTATTTGCTTGGTAATGACTCAGTTTCAATCAGAAAAGTACAAGCAAGCTGAAAGACAAGCAAGTCAAAAAGCTGCTTCAGAAATATACTATGACAATCCATTTCCTCCCTCCCCCCTTTTTTTTTCGTCTGCAAGATAAAAAGTATTGATTGTGAAGAGATAACCTTTTGGAAATGAGTTTACTTCTAAGGATGAAAAGGTTGCACTCCACTAATATATGTCAGGAGATGGATAGAAGGGCGTTTTAATGAACACAGATCATTCCTCAGAGACTACGGGGAAAGATGAACATAGGAAAACAAGATTGTAAATAGAAATTAGGAGAAACTTTCCTCAGAAGACTTCTAATTATCCTTCTACATTTTTGGCCTCCCATACGTAAACAGCTGCTGTCAGTCAGGGCCGCCCCACTCCTACCGTGAGTGTGGGGATCAGCGTGAGGCGCCGCCATGTGAGCGGACACGAGTATCTGAGAAGCACGGATCACTGCCACAGATCGTACTTCGTACTGTAAAGGGCTGCGCCAAAGGCACAGTGGAGGGAGGGCTGGGAAGCACAACCCGGCAGACGGTACTTGCGCAACCCCCTCACCCGGCCCCAGCGCCGCCGCGCCCGGGCCCGGCCGCTCCCGCCCCGCCCTCCCGGCTGTGCCCGCCCCCCGCCGCGTGACCGGGGAGCTTCCGGGGGGAGCGCCGGAGCTGTCAGCGGTGTGGCTGACTGCGGGGCGCGTTCGTGAGTGAGAGCTGCGCCCGCAACTTTGGCGGGGCGAGGGGCGATAGCGGCGACACCATCACCATCCACCATCACCATGTCCGGCAACGGGCTCGCTTACAGCGAGCAGGGGGGAGAGGCGGCGCCCGAGCTGGCGCAGGAAGCGGCGCCCACCGTGACCCCTTCGGCTCCCGCGGCCTTCGGGCTCTTTAGCAGCGACACCAAGAAGTAAGGGAGGGAGAGGGCTCGGTGCAGGCGCTGGGTGGACGATCCCGTGGGCGCTCGGGCGGTGCTGGGCTGGCCGGCCATCCCACGGGCATGGGCAGCTCCAGGGGCCTCCCACTTCCCCCCCCTCGTGACTCCGCGGAAAAGTTCACTTGCTTACGTTTAAGGTGTGCATAGGGAGTGGGTTAGCTGTAAAGTTTTTCAGTTGGTTTGTTTGAAATACTGTTTATCGTTTTTCCTCTGTTTCGACAGCTAACCACGCTGGAATTATCTTAATTTTGCCTTCAAATGTATTTATATATATTTATATATATAAAAGTGCTTGTAAAAAAAGTATTTGTGGAGGCTGTAGTTGGAAATGTAGTTGTTCAGGGCGAGGTGGCCAGCTCGAAGTGGGTGTTAAGAGTGCTAACAGTATCTTGGTCAGAAGTCAAAATGAGGAAATGGAGAAGGGGAAAAAAAGGCCCCGGCCAAGTGCACTGGCACAGGGAGCTTTCATCTTCTTCAAGAAAAAGTGGATTGGAGAGGAAGAGTGTCCAAATGAAGGGATCAAAAGGTTTGCTAAGCTACAACTGGACAATTGCAACAAATTGGAAATCTATTCCGAGAGCAACCAATAAAAAGCACCATAAACTAAGGTCTCATGTACATTAGAAAATCAATTGCTACTTCTTCAGTTTGATTGTTTTGCACAAAGAGAACATTCATGCTCTAGAAACCTTGACTGATGTATTTATTTGTGTGCCACACCAAAGTAAATCACAACAACGTGAAGCTGCTGTCACTCTGATGCTTAGCTTGTGAATCAGCAGCTGATGGGCCTTCTCGGTTTGCTAGATGAATCGCATTTCTTCTACCCCTTCTATTCCACTAAATTCTTTGCTTTTTCATTCTGTTCCAATTGATATTTTTCAATGCTCTAGCGTAGATGTCCCTCTGTGAATCAGCTGTAGCTTATATATGTTGTTTGCACCTTCCTTTTCTTGTCCCCTTCCACAGAAACAACTTTGCACTTTATTTCTTAATCATCATTTTGCGATGTTCTTTTTTCCACAGAGGGGGGTACGCCAATCATTGGTCATGGCCATAATTCTCTACATAACTCATAAACTTCAGACTGTTTTGCAGATTGTTTTGCAAGTGAAGTATAGCTCCCTGTTTTATTAGATGCGGAAGCTGAAGTGACTAATTCTACCCAAGGCTCCCCAGTGATCATGGGGAAATACAGCTCTGGGGTCCTGAGATATTTTGTACGTGGGTATGATTGTCCTTCAGTATGGAAGAAACAGAATAGCTTGTGATATGTGTGAATGTCTTATTAATTAATTGCTCCCCCAGACTTTCTCTGAAACTTACAGGAACAGGGAGAATGTCTGTCCTCTAAAGGAATTACTTGAGAGGACAGCAGGCATTGATCTCAGTGGTCTTTTGTAGCTGACAAAAAAAATTCTTGCTGAAATAGGAAGTTATCCATGACTCAGACTTGTGTTGTTAAGCTCTGAGTATGGATTGGGTAGCTGAGGAACAGACACTGTGCAGAGAAGATGATGAAATTTGTGTAATGTGAAAAAGCCACTGGACTGCAATTGAGGGTTACTATTAGAAAAGCAGACGATGTTGCACTCTGGAAAATGCAGTAATAATTCATCAAGCATATAGGTTATATTTGTAATAGTTCACTCTAGTAATAGCCCAAAACTTGATGAAAACACAATACAAGCAAGTACAGAGAAGTCCTAGATGTGTCCCTGCCTCTTGCACATGAAAGTGTGGGGATAGTGGAATATTCCAGTGGTGAAAAGAAATTACTGTTAGGGCTTTTCAGAGGTTGTTTGCTGATCTCTCTTGATTGTCATTCATCACTGCTGATATGCTTAAATCTGATGTCATTGTGGTGTTTCAGTGCTTTTTTTGTTGCTGTGGAAGCGGGAATTCTTCCTTAGACCTACTGATGATACAAGTACTCCTTCTCAGCAAAGGGGCACATCTGTAATATATGACCCTGAACATTACTGCAGTGACAGTTGGATCAGACGCTTGCACTTGGCTGTTGGAGTTAATTGTAACAGTATCATGCAGTTAATGTATAAGTATCAAGACACTACTATAAACCCTTTCTTTAAAAAAATTCCAAACTCTTCTGTTTGTGTGTCTGTCTTCTACTGTTTGCCATGAAGAGGAAGTAAGCCACAGTGCTTCTGAAATAAACAAATTGTATATTAGGATAAGTTGCTTTTGATCTTGCAGCAGGGCCTATGACAAGTTGCACAGAGGCACAAATAAGTATTAGTAGACTTAAAGATGAAATCTGAAGTTGACCTAATATACATCATTTGTCCTGTTTTGTTTTTCACATTTCAGTAGAAATACTCAGCTGAAATCCTTATCATATCCCATATGTTTGAAAAAAGGAGAAAAAGGGTCAGATTTTGGCGACCAGAATAATGGAAACAGTCTGCAGACAAGTGCAGACTGTTTTTGCCCATAACAGGAGTTTTCAGCAGAAAATTTGTAAGAGCCAATGGGTAATGTAAATCTTATGGATAAGCTGAATCCAGCTTGTGGGCCTCGAGCTATTTCTCCATGTTCTTGATAGATGGAATCCATGCAATAAGCACTGGAAGACTCTCAAAATAATCTGTATAGTGTAGAGAGGTACCATGTGATGCACATCACCTGAGATAAAAGAATATTGTTATAGTTACAGTATTCATTTTACATTATTATTGCTCTATATGGAGGAGTAAAAACTCTAACTACCTTCCAACTTCTAAGAGTAACTGGAGAGCTAATTAGTACACAGAATCCCTGTTAATTGCTTATATTAGGGTGCAGCTATTCCTACTTACAGTTAATTGCAGGTGGACAGAGGATTTTCATCTATATTAATTGCATTTTAAACAAAATTTACCTGCATATAAAACTGAAGTATAATAATGTTTGGTTCTTGGAAATAGTACAGTTTCAGCAATAAAACTAGCTATTGCTTTTTCCGAATAAAATGTTAAAGCTTAGAGGTGAACCACAGGAGTAACATCATTAGATATCAATTGATAAGTACAGTATTGAAGCAGATGGCAAAATTTATAACACACATTTTCAACTTTACTGATTTGCATCTTTAAACTGTATTCCCGCCAAGCAAAATACATTTGTAATTTATTAGACTTTTTTTTTTGTTGCAAATCTGGCTTATGTGTTTTGTTGAGCCATTCATCAGAAAACTCATCAGAGCTGCAAAGCCTTTTTTTTTTTTTTTTTTTTGCAGAGATTTTGTAAGCATGTTTTGCAGAGAGCTGAAGGTGGTAATTTCATTAAGATACTCATTGCCCAATTCTCTGTGCTGAAGACTTTTCCAGACTCATTGGAGCTAAAAGCTTGTTTTCAACTTTCAGAACTTTTCAACTTTCAACCTGCCAGAGGTGTTCTTGGAGTCTTAAATTGATCTAGTTTTGTCTTGGCATATTCTGTTCAACCAGTCATGGAGAGATTGTACATGGATTGCCATTTGTGAAATTCTTGGAGGACACTCCAGCTCTAATATTCAAACTCGATGCATCCACTATCTCATTGGCACAACTACTTTCTTTTCCCATCTGTTAAAATGGCCCTATGCCCACTGATGTGGCGATATGCCAGTTTCGGTAGGATGTACAACCCAGCAAAGCTGAATGGTTTGGATGAACTCATGAGTCTACAAGATAAAATCTGAACCTTCTAGTCAGTACCAGGATAGGAACTGAGTGCGGTGTACAAACGTGGGCAATACTATTGCAGAACACTTCTCCAGCTGAAATCTGTCAGATCTGATGGGAAGTGACACAGAGTGAATATATGCTTATTGCCATGCACTTGGCACATATGAGGATGCAAGCAATGAACTGTTGATTTGCTATGGTAGTCTGTAATGTAGTCATTACATTTTTGAGGCTTTTTTATTTTCTCAGGCAAGTTTTATAGTTTAAGGTCTTCACTGTGGTTTCTGCATATTTATTGCATTGTCATATATTTGCTTTAGATGCTTGCTTTGATCTGCATCTTGAGTGGTATTAAATACACATTTTTATAACTGTTATAAGGCTGATGCTTGCAAGAAATTCCACTTTTTCTTAGTTCTGCTTTTTGAAGGCTATCCTTGTCTGTGCCACCCTTTGGTAGTTTTGTTTCTGGAAGGAAACCAGAATTCTTTTGGCATCCTGCCAGAAGATGAACAGCATTGTAATGCTCTTTAACAGGGTTTCTGAAATGTCGTGTACTTCTATGTAAATATACTAACACTGGTTCTGTCAGTGACAACACCAGCTTTGTGGTGATATCTTTAAAAGAAACCTTTTCCCACCATTTTTGGGAAAGCTGGAAACACTGAGAGTTGGACTCGATGATCTTGTGGGTCCCTTCCAACTCAGAATATTCTGTGATACTGCTTCTCACTTCCCTGTAATCCCTTTACAACTACCCAATGCTGCAAAGTGATCTACAAATGTCTACAAACACTGATCACTTGCCTCAAGACAGGCTGTAAGTTGACACAACCACTTAAGTGGCAGCACCACCTCAGATTCTCAGCCTTCAGGAAACTGATATCTTCCACCAAGGAAGATTTCTCCCTAGCAGAATTTTCCTTGCAGTGTCGATGGTGTGAGCACTATCAGAAGAGGTCGTAGGCAGTGGAATTACAAGATTGATACTTTTCATCCTTTCAGACAGCCTTTCTTGTTTCTGGGTGAAGTAGTGTCTGTTACTACTCTACTGACAATAGATAATCTTAGATTAAATTGCAGTCAGATCCAGAAAGGATTTCAAACTGCTTTGTCATACTAGCTGCCATTTGGTTAAAGCATTTGAAATGTAGGTAGTTTACATCTCTGCATCGACGGTGGTGATAGCAGCAACTTACAGGTGTTCATGCACTGAGCTGCTGAAGCACTGTTCGAGTACTACAGGATCACAACAGAGAACTGGGAAGATGCTTTACTCAGGTTTTAACTTTACACTTTTCTATC